TTTATTTGTATAAAAATGTACATAAAATTACATTTTTAATACGATTTTGCAATTATACAACTTCATATATTTTTAGACTGTGGGATGAATATGTAGCTGGAAAATTCTATGAATATGTAGCTGGTATCCGGGGGGGGGGGGGTTCATTCACTGATGACATCGGCAAGCCGACTACATTCACTGAGAGACGCGCTTGGCGTTCCATAGAAATTACCGGCGGCTCAACTTGTGGCGGCTCAACCGATCATATCCCGGCCTAGCTAGGCCTACTGTATTCATAAGGCCTAAGTAGTGTTAACTAATTTGGTAACCAATTTTACGGCCGGACGAGAAACCACATATAGCGCCGCTTAGGCCTAGCTAGGATAAATAGAGGAGGCTTAGGCCTTGGGCCTACACTAATCCTATCCACTAGGCCAAGCCTCCCATCTCTCTCTATTATAGGTCTAGGCTAGCTAGCCTAGGCTAGGCCCTAGACTGATTCCAAAAAAGAAAGGCTTGTAGGCGTAGGCCTAGCTTGCACAGCAGGACCTTAGGCCGGCTGTAGACAATCAACACCGATTCATATTAATAATATCATAACTTAAGTTGACATCAAATCTATCAGAAAAACTTTTTGAATTTAAAACTTGAATAAAGAACAAACTAATTCAGTAAAACTACACTCACGTTTTCGTTATCGACAGCAAGTTTGCGTTTTGTGAAGGCCTAACCTTTAACCTGTCATAATTATTTGCCACCAACAAGAAGCGGCAAGCAAGGTTAACCACGCCTACTTTAACATGCGCATGATGTCCCCCAAGTTAGCCCTGCTGTTTTGTTGTTGTCAAAGGTCAAATTTGAAGCGTCGTAATTTGAAAATCAACGAATGGTTCGTGATGGTAATTTGTTTGCTTTTCTTGGCATATTTTAGCCAGTTGAGATAGGCCTAGATAGCTTTAGATGGTGATATATTAAATTCTTATTTAGGAAGCCGCTTGCTATTTTTTATATAATTTAATAATATTCTAGGCCTAGCTAGGCTAGCTAGGAGGCTAGCCTGGGCCTCTAGCCTAGTAAAGTAGGCCTAGGCCTAAAAGGGCATTAATTGCCTGGCCCAGCCTACTTTTACTAGGCCTACTTACTACTAGGCCCAGCGCCCTGCTACCTACTTAATTGATTCATCATTCATCAAGAATGTCCTTGGCCCTAGGACTAGCTAGCCAGACATACTTTAGTACTGTAGGCCTCGGCTAATGAACTTTTGCACTTTTACTTTACTTTTATTTTTTCCTGAGCACTCCCTCAAATATTGGCGCACTTTGAGACTTTGTATAACTATAATGCGCCTTTTAAGTCGAAGACGGGATTGGATTTGGTTAATGATAGTTTGCATTGTTTTCTTCGGTTTCTGGTCAAAACAGCAATAAACCAAAACGGCAATAAGTCAAAACGGCAATGACCACAACGGTAAAAAACCAAAGCGGCAACACTTTTTGACCAGAACGGCAAGAGACCAAAATGGCAATAGTCAAAATGGCAAGACCAAAACAGCAATAGGCCTAAAGTAAAAACGGCAATAAACCAAAATGCCAACGAATTGTAAATATGAAAGTGTACATGATTAAATACAGTAAAAATGAAGCTAAATTTGAGAAATAACAAACAATACTGTATAACACTACAAATTCAATAATAGAAAGATTGGGGAACACAATATAAAAGTAAACATTTAAATAAGTAAAACTTTAAAATACAGACAAAATGAGGCTAAACAATTTATGACATAAAAGTAAAAATGCGAAATATTAACCAAATACTGTACATAAAGGAAAGTGTACAAAGATACAGTAAAAATTAGGCTAAATTGTCACAGAAGTGAAAGAACGACAACAATAACAACAACACCACCAACAAAAACAACAATAATAATTAAAAATACTGAAAATAATAATAATAATAATGATAATAATAATAATAAAACATATAAATTGAATAATAAAAAGATTGGGAAACACAATATAAAAGTAGTAAACATTTAAATAAATATGACTTCAAATACAGACAAAATTGGGGTAAAAAATTATGTCATAAAAGTAAAAAATGCAAAATAATAATGATAATGTATAGATAAAACTTCAAAATATAGACAAAATGAAGCATCTAAATAATTTGTCAAAAATGTGTAATAAATAAAAAACATTAAAAGTGGGAAAATGAGCCCATGGCAATATTCGATTTGCCTGCCAGGACAATTTCAAAACGGTTCAGAAAATTATGTGGCTAGTCTTGCTCCTTTGCCGTATTCATCTATGCCTGTTGCCGTTTTGGTCCCTATCATTTGCCGTTTAGGTTATTGCCATTTTTGTCATTGCTGTTTTGGTTTATTGCCGTTTTAGTTTATTGCTTTAATTGTCATTTTAGTAAGATTTATAATGATTGATTAAGAAACTAGGAATTTTTTCTTCAGTTGAAATTCAGTGTCACTGTCAGGGCTTTGCTTTTATCCAGAAACTAGGAATTTTTTCTTCGGTTGAATTGAAATTCAGTGTCAGGGCTTTGCTTTTATCCAAATCAAGTAGGTCAAACTACTGTACCCCCAGTGAGTGTTGCAGAAAATTGGGCTAAAGGTTCCCTTATACACTTAAGTGCAGACGACTTATTCATTACTTCAAAATTGCTTGTCAGCTGACAAGAAAAACAAAACCATGTCTTTATCTGTATATTGATTTCTGATAGTTATAGTATGCAACATTTTTTTCTATAAATAAATATATACTGTTTATTTAAGCACCTCTCACAGTAAATACATATTGATTGAAATTGTACATAGTATTAGCAATATTATTTTTCGTTCATAGGTCTAATCCTTAGATTTTTGTCAATGTCAAAAGGCAAAACACTAAAATATCAATGATGCTGTGAGTAGCAATTATCTTTCTCTTGAATTTATCTGCCTGTTTTGAATTCAAAGTGTTTTTATTGTTTTGTGAATTTATTGTAATAACCTGGCATTAGGATGGAGTTTGTTTTGTACTACTTCTAGATACCAATAACTACACTCTGTATTAATTATTCAATTTATTGTTCTTCATAGTGGTAGAGCGTCATGGATTTACGAAGTGCTTCACTAAATGCAAATGGCCACAGTTACCATGGAAGAGGCCAGACAAGTGGAAGAGGTATCAATGTTCTGTCATCATAAAACTATAATGTAGGCTGCAAAACTTGTTGTTACCCATATTGTAAAGTACCGCAGTTGCACAGATGATACCTCAAAAACTAGATCAAATTTGCGCTGAAAATCGCTACGAAAATAGGTGGGCAGAATTGTAACTTTGGCATAATACATAGATTATATATTAAGTTAGGTCAAAGCCTAATTTTCGGCAAAATCTGTGTGGAAATTGACCCTTATTTTCTGAAATGCATGGATGAATTTCTAGGCCAAATCTTTACCTGGAGCATATATGGCCTGCGCAGTCTTTAACTTTAAAGTCTGGGTTGTAACCTGAACAACAAAATATTTAAAGGTAATCACTAAGTAAGTAATAGTAATATACTATTCTTGTTTCTTATCAGATGGAGGCTTCAAAGAGCCATACCACAGTACCCCTAAAGCCAAAGCTTTGACAATGACAAATTCCAATATTTCTTCGAGCGCCATTGGCAGTCTTGGGACACCTTTTGATGTTCAGCCCTCTCCACTTTTGAGGCGAAGTGGATCAAGTCCTGGCACTGGTAGAATTAGCTCATCACACAGTCATGCTACTTCGTCATCAAGAGTTTATAAGTCTTCCACAAAACATGTATGTTTTAATTTTTTTTCTGATGTTTTTGATTTTTTTTAGCAGCTTTGTGTTTAACTATAATTAAATTTGGATAAGCTTTTTGTTAGTTATAAAATATTTTAAAGGCATAATGATATAAACTAGGGGATTTGTATACCGCATAATACATGATATGCTGATGTTACACACAATAATGAGGTGTACTTACTGTATCACAACACTATGGCATACAAGTAAAGCACTTTGCTACGCAGAAAATAGGTATTTACAGTACATAAAATATAGTATAAAAAAAATGAAAATTCATAGATAAAAAACAAGATAACAATAACAAATATGAAGGCAGATAATATTTAAATGACACTTCTCTATTGCTTTATTATTATTTATTTATTCTTTCTTTATCCTGAAATGCATGTTCAGTACAAATGTACTGATTTCCACAGTGGTTCAGTTAAAAACAATAGTAGATATAAAATCAAACAAGTAACTTATGAAAAAGTAAAAAATGAATTACAAAAACAGAGAAAGAGTACACAGATTAAAAGTTTTCATTTTAATTTTAGAGCTTCCTGCTAGCTGTTTGATGTGAAAGAAACAATATAAAATGAAATAATATCGAAATATCTTTCTTTTTTTTTTTATCCAGAATTACGTCTCAGACATTGAAGTGAGTACAGTGCAAAAGCAACGGAAAGAACTACAATTGATGATTAGTGAGTTGCAAGATAGAGACCGTGAACTGAATGAAATGGTAGCATCCCACCAAAAGCAGCTAATGGCCTGGGAACAAGACAGGCAGAGAGTACTGACATTGGAACAAAAATGCACAAGACTTGAAGGTAACAGATAGGGGCTTGAAAAAGGGAAGGGGTGAAAATTGTTATAAATATAATGTTAAGTTTGCAGTCTATTGACACCATTTTTATTCTTTTTTGAATTTTCTATTTTGATATTTGTAATTTAAATAAAAAAAGTATACATTGTCATCTCTTTTTTAATTATCTGTCTTATATCTTATGCATTACTCCAGATAAGGGTTTGAAAAACAGAAAGGGTGAAAATTGTCAAAAATAACACTCTCTTGACACCCTTTTAGTTATTTATGAATTTTCTATTTTAATATTTGCCCAAAATTTCAGATAGAAAAGGTATGCATTTTTCATGTTTATTTTTTCATTATCTGACTTATATCTTGTCTCAACAGACTATACCAAAATAAGGTGCATGCTTTTTAATTCTATGGCCATGGTTCAATCTAGCAAATGTACAGTGTCATTGTTTGTCTCACAATGATGAAACTACTTTTAAATCTATAGAACTTTGAGGGTCACTAATGGATCAGCCCCATACGTAGAATTAGAAGCAATGACCTAACAGTTTAAGCCCTGCCCACACTATCAAATGTTATTTTCACAAAAAAGGGTTGTATATCCATATATAGTCATGGTGTGCCCATATATACTCATGATGTGCCTATATTTGGTCATGATGTGCCTATATATATAGTCATGATGTGCCTATATATAGTCATGATGTGCCTATATATGGTCATGATGTGCCTATATATGGTCATGATGTGATGTCATGACCATATTTAAGCATTTCACATGTTTTTGTAGAATGAAATTTGATAGTCTGGACAGGGCCTTAGATATGGAAATCTGTATGGCCATAATCACAGATCAGGAACTTACAAAGTTCGTCAGCTGAAACAATTTTAAAAATTATGGGGAAAAAAGTGAGGTGTAATATAAGTGTAGTTATTCTGTGTGTTCATTATAAGCTTTTTTATACTTACTGTATGTAATTCATTTTTTGCATTTTTTAAGCTTAAAGGAACTTTGTAATATAATTTTGTGTTAACTGTTTTGTTTTTGTTTACATGACAAAAAAAGTATTAATTAAATCTTATCTTATAAAAAAAAAATCTTCGAAAAGAAAATAGTTGTACTGTAGACAGATGTCTGAAAAAGCTAGTAGTACTTCCATGACAATACAGGATGAAAAGAAAATAGTTGTACTGTAGATAGAGTTGGTCTTTTTCTAATAAACCAATGCAAAATTGTATTTATTTTAGGAGATTTACGCAACAAGAACGGACAGGTTAAAGGACTAACAACTCGTCTTAAAGTACTTGAATCCCAGGATCACTCCAAAACCTGTGCTCTAGAGACAACTCAAAAACAACTTGAACAGATGTCTGAAAAAGCTAGTAATACTTCCATGACAATACAGGATTTAGAGGTAGGGTCAAAGGTTGATTCACTATTTCTCTTTGCACCAGGATTATGCCAAGGAGTTTTATTTTATTTTTTTCAACAATCTTTAATGAAGCTGGTCCATCCATTAGGGACCCTCAGTACACATAGTAAAACAAAATATAAGAGAGTAAGAAACTAATTAATTAACAGAAATATAAATAACAACCTAAGAGGTGATAGGGTGGATTGTTTGTTCCTTCCTGCCCCAGTGCCAAAGGTTAAAGGCCTGTTTACACTTCAACGATAACGATAAAAATGCTAAAAAGTGATTGTTCATATAGAAAGTAAAAGAAATAAGAGTAGTTTTTACACTGGAACGATTCGATAACGATTTATCAGTTATGCGATAACAACATATTTTGACAAATCAAATCAGATGACGTCATAATCATGGAAAAACATTAAAATCGTCGTAGTAGCAACGAATTTAACGTTTGTCAATGATTATGACGTCATCTGATTTGATTTGTTAAAATAATTTATTATTGCATACACGATAAATCGTTATAGAATCGTCCTAGTGTAAAAACTTCTAATTTCTTTTGTTTTCTATATGAACAATCGCTTTTTAGCATTTTTATCGTTATTGTTGAAGTGTAAACAGGCCTTAAGAGGTAGCAGATTTCTATTTATTCCTGCCCTTTGGACGTTCAGCTTTTGATGTTAATTCTCTTTAAAATACAGTTTTTTTTGTTATGAATTAATGGGTGCTAAATTTTGATATTTTTGTTCTCAAAAAAGAGCAAGCAATTATGCTGGTCCTTCTTGTATTAATTTTTATGTATGTACAGTATATTTTATTAATTTTAGAAAGAACACATGTTCATTCTGTTAAAAATTTCTCTTTATTCTTTATAAAAAGGATAAAAACAAAGACCTGTATGAGGCTGTTCAGGATTTCTCTGGTAGAATTGGACAACTTGAAGCCAAGGAAGAGGAGTTAACAACAGTAATAAAACTCAAGGTATGCTGATTTCAGGCCTAACCATCTTTTCTTTTTTAAGGAAATCTGTTAGTTTAAAACATGTATTGGTGCCACATCCTGTGGTCAAGGACCACCTGAATACAGGACAAATACTACCAGGTCACTAGTTTCAGAGATAAGACCAGCCACAGAACATTATTTATAGCCAGTCCGACAAGCGTGGATCCTTGTCTTCGAATACCAATTGAGTTCCTTGGAGTAGAAATATTAATTTGCCGATTGAACCGAAGTGTTACCAGTGATTGCAACTCCCAGCTTTTATCATCTTAAATAAAAAATTCTCTTCCCCATGACCAATATCAAGGGTTTTAATGAGGAATCTTGACCGTAGGAACTTGGTCCGGACAACTGTTGGACTCCTGTCAGCATATTTATGGAACCTGTATTGTTCATAGCATGCAACTGGGTTTAAGCAAGTATTATTCCTACATAGAACCTGTTTTACTGTTGCTGAAAAGTAAAGGTGTTAATAGGTTCTAATTGCTTTGATTAAAAACAAAGATTGTGTGAGTGATTGATTATTGTTTGATTGAATGATTGGTTGATTTAATTACTTTGCCTTTCAGGATAAGGACCTCATTGAAGTGTCTTCGCATCTGAATGAGCTTACAGGCAAACTAAAGAAATTAGATGCAGCATACAAGGTAATAAGATTGTCAACAATAAAATGGTGGTTGGCGCCGTGGGAACGGTTTGGTTTCCCAAACTCGAGGTCGGGGTTTCGCTTGTGTCCTTGAGCAAGGCACTTTATCTGTATTGCTTCTCTCTACCCAGGAGCATAAGTGAATTCCTTAGGAGGTTCAAGTGCAATTTATGCGCTGAAATATTTCATGCAGCAAACTAAGGTATTTCCCCATAGGCATCATTCCAATGACTGGGGTAATAATGTGGAGAGTTGTATTGAGTACCGCAGTCGTGTCGTCACGACGCCAGGTGGCGCTGTCTGTTGTCAACAGACGTTGGTTACCGTTCATTACGCGTGAATGACTTCATAGACTACAATAGCAACGGAGTAGTATCACGCGGTATCCTGACGTAACACTGTAGTACTCTGTAGAGCATTATATAAAAACTTACATATTATTATTATTATTATTATAGTACACTTTTTGTAGGTGGCACATAAAAAAGAAATTTTTTAAATCTTTAGAATCTTGAATAATTAGGATGCAGTTTTTTTTTGCAACAATATATTTTGACTTACTGTAAAGTGGTGCCCAAAATACTCCTGTAATGTATGAAAATGACATTTTTCAAAATTTATGTGAATCCGTAACAATGGATTTGAATAAATGAATGGTTAGGCATAAACTCTAGATGTAGGCCTAAAATTCTGATCGATAGTGTAAGCATCACAACAATTTCAAAATATGTCTGCTTGGTATGAGTATGATAGAAGATAGTGCTTCTCTCATTAATTTACTTGACATTAACTTGTTTATAGTTGTTATTTATTTCTCCAATCTTTCTCATTGGCATTCTTAGCAACTACGACAGTCGGAAGGAGATGCTAAACAGGATGTGGAGCTCTGGAAGGGAAAGTATATTGAAGCAAATGCGGAAAAGGAGAAACTTAAAGGTGAATAATAATGAATTTCGTCATTTATTTCTGTCATCTTTATTTTATTTTATCTACATTATTACTACTTTTATTTCCTTTTCTTTGATTCCTGTCTAATAAATAAATTATAATGAATTTGTGCTTTTTCTTTCACTTGGTTTGACTTTAAATGTGAATTACTGTAGACTAATTTCCAAAAAAAAAAAAATTAAACTTTGTGCTACCTAAAACCAAACTGACGCAAAATCTTAAAAGTTTGAGGTGCTTGTTTTTTATAGCAATAATGTATTTTTTTGGTTTGCCCAGGGGAAGTCCAAATAATGTATTTCAAAAGGTCTTCAATAAAATGTGATTTTAGCACTGTGGCTACTATTTTATTAAAAAAAAAATTATGGTTGAGTGATTGTTGTCAGACTGACCCTGATTTACAATTGGCACTGTTTTGGGCAACACAGCAATTTTATTTTGGCCTTATATAATATTTTGGTGCTTTTCTTACATATGTGTCAACTTAAACATCTATCAATATATACTGTTGTTATTAATGGCAGTACCTTTAACATGGCTCAATCAAAATATTACAGAATTGAATAGAATAGAATTTCTTTCAGATATGTTAAGTTAAAGGTGAATTTATAATAGTTTGATGCTTTTCTCTCACTTGTATCAATATATAACATTGTTAATAGCGATGCAATACTTTAGCATGGCTCAATCATATTACAGAATTGACAATTTTTTTCAGTTATGTCAACTTAAAGGTGAATTGTAATAGTTTGGTGCTATTATCCTTTAACATGTATCAGTATATAATGATGTTGTTAATGACACAATACATTAAGCATGCCTCAATCACAATATTACAGAATTGACTGTCTTCTCTGTAGTTCTGTCAAACTAAAAGTGAATTATAATAGTTTGGTGCTATTTTCAATGTATCAATTTACTGTACATTATTGGTATTAATGACACAAAACCTTAAGCATGACTCAATCAAAATATTACAGAATTGACAGTTTCTTTCAGTTCTCTCAACTTAAAGGTTAATTGTATTAGTTTGGTGCTTTTCTTTCCCTTTCATCAATATGATAATTGTTTATTGCTGATACAATAACTCAGAGCACAGCAAACAGAGTAATGCAGCTCTGATGACAGTTATTATCTTTTTAAAAATTGTTTTCAGTATCGGTTTCAATCAAATTAAATAAACATTAACATTTTTTCAAACAACAATTATATCACGCTATTGTATGCATTTTACAAATATCCTGTAACCATAAAAAAATGAAAATCGAATAAAACATCAAATTGTTTAAAAAATGTTGTCTACTTCTAAGAAGACACAGATCACAATTCCTTGCCATCTTATCTATTTTTTGCTGCTTGTTATTATCTTATGGTTCATTAATTATATTTTACATATTGTAGTATTTTTGATTATTACTCTCCCTGTGTTTGTAAACATGTTATTAATGATGATAACTTAATAAAGCCGAAATGTTGAGTAAATATAGCCTCACTTTCTCCATTTGGAATCACTTTTGGTTTTTTTTTTTTTTTTTTTTAACATATATTTTGGAATATATCTATCTTTCTGCTTTTGTCATTTAGAACAACTCAGAGAGCAAATGCAGTTAAATGAAGGACAAACAACAGAGATGAACAATTTAAAGGAAGAATGTGAGGCTATGAAAAGAGAGATAGCCTTGACAGGTACGCAGTCCACATCTGCTAGTTTTTTTTTTCCAATTCTATTGAAATAGTAAAATGCTGTTCATCAATAAAAAAAAATAAAAATGCAATAGAAAATGACTAAGAATAGTGCTTTTAATGTTTCATTTTAACGCTTAGAGGTCATGACAATATGCACCTTATAAGTCCACCCGAGAACAACTTGCGATTTTTTTTTGCAATTGTTTTCAAACGTACTGAGTATTCAGTATATTTCCACGTCAGGTAGGGCGAAATTACATCTATTCATAATTCTCCTGACGCAAATCCAGTTATTGTTTATTCCATCACGACAATAACAATTACTATCCACCATTATTATATTTTAAATGCATAATCTTTTTTTTCTTCAATTTTAGTTGAACGAGACAAACGCAAGGATCAGTTGTTAGAGTTACAACGATCTAAACAGGAACGCACCGACTCGGAACTTACTAACTTACGACAAATTTACGAGCGACAACAAAGGGATGTTGCACTCTTGCAACTAAACCTGGATAGCAAACAAGAACTACTTAACCAACAAAGTTACAGTTACAGAATGTCTCCGTAAGTAACCAAGTTGCTTAATAATATTCATAACAATACCTAATAGTTCTTACATCCCATGAATTGTGAAGTGTAAAAACTTTATTATGTTTTAGTGGCCATCAAGTAGACCTCACAAAACCTTTCTGCAAATTTCGTCATTGAAATTATGACACCTGTATAAGTTCATTTATGGCACCAGTATGTCGACACATGTATGTAAATTATTATGGTGATAAAACTTTATATTATAATGCATCTTGCTTTGTTGAAATCACTTTTCACTTGTTCAGGTTATAATAATCAATAACTCATATTTTTAAAATTTTTCCTAATACATTTTCACATAATGAAAATATATTAATAATAATAATAATCATAATAAATTTTGAAATATTTATTGCCTTCATATCCAACCATGATGAATATGAATTAACAAATTACGAATAGTTATTAAATAATAACCTCATTAATATTGCAAATGATGACGTAATAAATATTATACTATAATCACTTTTCTAGGCACAAAGATAACACCTCATCACACTCTTTATCTACCTCTCCAAGCAAATCAAAACCCTCACCTAGATTATCGAATGGTAAGCACACCAGCCCCATTAGTAGCAGCCTACAAAGTACTCCAGAGAAGCCAAACAGTAGTGGTGATACAGACGACTTGCTTTCTGTGCATGCTGAGGTAAGTTGTGCCATGAAATCAAGCCTAACAATATTATATTATTGCATTTGTATACACCATTTTTGCCAAATTTGAAATGAAAATTTCCAAGAGCCTGGCAACTACTACTAGGAGATTTCCAAAGGCCTAGCATTTTGCTCTACATTGTTACCACCATGGATTAATTAAACGATAAAACTAAATTTACTAACAAGCACAAACATTTTAAAACGGAAAAAGAACGAAATGTTGATATTAAAAACAAGCCTAAGATTTAAAAATATCTATTTCATTGTTTACATACAGTAATTAACAAAAGGTTGTAACTTCTGCTGCTATATGGCACAGGTCTAGCGGCGCTATCCGCTGCGCTGTGCTCTATTTGTAATTATATAACTCATACATAGATTCTAGGCATCTGATTGGTTAAGAAGCAGGGCAATAGAAAGTATATTCCCCTCAAAAAAGTACTATTCCCCTCAAAAATAATGCTTTTTTGACCTGTCGCGATGTGCAAACTCTAAGCCCACTACATCGTGCTGCTGACGGTAAAGGGGACTGAGACCTCTATGATAAGATTATCCCCTGACCGCGTCACGGATCAGTAAGTAGACGATAAACAAATATGGAGGGTGCTTGTTTTGAGATGAAGGAGGACTAGCCTAGGCCTACCATTTCTTCTTGATGAAGCCGATAGCAAAAGCACTAAAAGACAAATTTAATGTGTCTTATAAATATTTGACAAATATATTGCAAGAAGATGGGTGCTGTTGAAATTGTGGAAATGAGCAAAGAAGAGCTAGACACACTCTTTGATTGAATAGGCCTAGGTGCTAGTCGATTAGTAAGCCTCTAATATAACAGGCTAGGAAGTAAGTACTTTTTGATGGCCTTGTAGAATCTATGTATGAGGTATATAAAACAAATATTGACTGCTCTACAGTATATTTGGGGAACAGTGAAATCTATTGATTTCACCATTCTCCTCATAAGCAGTCAATATTTGTATACCAGCCAGCTGCTGAGGCTAGGCCGCTGGGAGTCCCAAAGTGAAAAGTTGTGAGACCTTTGGTGGTGCTATTTCAATATAGACCCAATAAAATGGTGTATATTCACACAGTTATTATTATCATTTTGACAAGCTCGCAGCTGTTTGTGTAGGTATAACAACACAGGTAAAAACATAAAATGTATGTGCATGTTTGTATGTGAGGGAATCTAAGTCAGAAAGTAGCTACAGTGAGGCCTGTATACAAGGGACTTTTGGAATCTAGGGCAATAGACAAGTGAAGATGAGTCTAGATTCTTTGCATGTTCAGCCAAATATAATTATTGTCAATTATGAGAATAAAATTGTGAATCTTGTTTGTTTAATTTCTAGCTGAATGGATCTCCAACAAGTAAACTTCATAGGCTGCTAACGGAGTCTAGGCAAATGGTGGAGAGTCTTGAGCAGACGACCTTACCCCCTTATTTCCCATCCAGAAAGGTTTGTAGAACCCCATTACTTTGTTTTGTTAATTACAGTTAATCATTGTAATGAAGGCAATGTCTTTTCATTGCTTTCTATTCTCTGCAAATTGATTCTATTGAGGAATGTTAATTTCTATCACCCTCATTACCCTATAAATTATTTTTTCTCTGGATTTGCTGATCTTATTTTCACTATTTATGACATTCAGCATTATTACCTTCTCTATTTCAAGCTCAGACCATTTATCTATAGGCTATTTTTCTAATACTGTAATTCCAAATAATAATTAAAAAAATCTGAATAATTTACAGAGTACTAATTTATTACCAACTTTTGTATTGTCATATTTTAGATAATTAGAGCTTTCACATAGTAAAGTTAATGATAAATTATTAAATCAAATTAAAATATAAATCCAATTATCTATATTGATTATATTTAATGAAAATTAAATAACAATAAATATTTTGCATTTTTTTGTTTTGTTTTGTAGAGTATTAGCCCAAGTCGAACTGAATCTGACTGAATCATTTGTGAATTGCTGAATGGTTAGTGTTGAGTATGGGGGCTGTCTCTTATACGGGGGCAAAAAAGTTATGCTGCACTAGTTGAAAAAAATATGCCTCTAATTTTACAGGGATAACATTTTTGTAATTTTGGTTAGATATCAAATGTTATAGGTCATTTATAAATTATACTTAAAACTGGTGGTACCACTGTGTGTGTGTGTGTGTGTGTGCGTGCTGAACCACTGTGATCCTTAAGCCTGTTGCACTCAAAAGCAGCACCTGACACAATTTTTTTACAAAGGTGACCTTCTTAGACTGCCACCTAGTCATCAGACTTGTGTTGCATCCGGCAAAGATCTTATAAAAACAAGATAGCGTTCTCCGCAATTTACGCGTAACAAATAGAAGCGTCGGTCAAGGTTCAAAAGTTTCCAATTTAGCAAAAGGGCGCCATTCATGCGCTATTATACCAAAGAGAAAAAGTAATCAGGGCGTCTTGTCTGTTGCCATGGATCTGAGATGGTTCCTGTTCTGCTGTTCACAGGATTAGTAAAGCCGCGCGACGTACGGTGTGGTAAGAGCGGTCAAGGGTCAAAAGTTTCCAATTTAGCAAGAGGGCGCCATTCATGCCTTATTACAGAATTTGCACGCGTAAATTGCGGAGAACGCTATCTTGTGTTTATAAGATCTTTGATCCGGCAAGTGTTCACTTAGAGGGCGCCAGAATTTGTTGGTGGACCCAGTAGGCTTCTGGTTCAAGTAAATCGCTGCTCTAGTTGTGTTTCAGAAGGAGGGCTGAAATAAAAGCTACGATAATGGTATGTCAAAAGAGAGATGATGATGTCATTGGTCTCATGTGAATTATCTCTTATGCACAAATCAATCGTCATTGCTCAGGGGTGTACAAGGAATAAAAAAAGGTGTTGCCTTACACAGGCCAATTTGAACAACCTTAGTGTATAAATGTGACATGCTCCCACAAAACCTGGACAAATGGCAAAATATCAAAATATGGTTTTTTTTTCTGGAATTAGCTTTAGAATACAATTATTCTAAATGAAAGTGAAAGAAATATTAAAAATAATGATGAGTAATGATTGATAGAAAGAGGTAGGGCATCAGAAATGGTGCAACATTTTTGTTATAAATAAACTTTCGAGCAGACAATACACATTTAAAATGTGTGCTCAAAAGCTTGTATCTTTTATGATATTAATAAATGTTGCTTAATATTATTGTAATTATTATCATAGTACTATAAATAGTAGTGTCAGTACTATAAAACTCAGTTTTGATGCGTATTAGAAACTGATTGAACCCTTGTTTTATGTATGTTGTGTGATGTTATTAAACTGCAAATCTCATCATCAAAGGGTTTTTTACATAGATATATTCAAAGAAGTATTAATGACTGTAATTTATAAGATACTGTGTTTGTTTTCGTTTATGATTTTAATTGTCTAATGTTCATAAATGTTTCCATAAGAGTACAATTAGTAGGCCTACAATATTGGAAATTACTGGAACCTGGTACTGTATTTATTTTCAATGGAAGTGGAGCCATAGCTTGCTAGTTAAGATGCTGGCTTAAAGCATGGTTAAATTTCAGGTGAAGAAAAAAAAAAGAAACAATTATTTAATCTTTATCTAGATATGAAGGGAATTAATGCTCAGTTCAAACTATTATACTTCCGTCCTGTTTGTGTTCCATTCCAATAAACCCAACCATTTAAGCATTGTTTCTAGGTTCCACAAAATGACAGGGTAAACTTACGTACACAGATGTGTGTGTTCGAAATGAGCATGTTCCTGGTCCCTTATTAAGTTGGTCAGTTTTATCAAAGAGTAACAACTGCAAGAGGTCTGACTCTCGTGGTAACGTTGAAACGCAATCCTATTTCAAAAATAACTGCCATGAAGGGGCGTGTCCTTAAAAGACGCATTTCAAGCGAACTCTATTTAAATTCTGTTTGTGCGCCCCTATCGTGTGGCAGTACTTTTTTAACGTTACATTGCGTGCATACAAAATCAGGGCAGTTGGACTTCTTACAATTCTATACTGTTTAGTTTCATTGACACCCCAGCAATATCCATTGACAAGTGTAGGCCTACTTGTTGTTAAATGATAGTAAAGCTGATCTGAAATTTTAAGATGAGCTTAATATAAAACATGATGCCATTTAATAATATATCATGCTTTATATCAATATGTAAACTTGTTTAGAGACACTTTTAATCAATTGTATATTATTTACGGATGCTATTGACAACTGATCCGATAGTCCTTAATCGGATATTTTAACCTTGATTGTATGTATATGAATATTTTGTAAATGTTGATATCAGAAAAGACTAGGAAATATAGGTGCTATTCCCGAATCTTATATCGTATTTAGTATATTAATAGATTTGATAAATAATACTCCATACGGTGCTCTAGTGCTTACCCCACAATGAATTTACTTGTTACTATTATTTGTCATCGTGTTATTATACCAACTCGAGCCCTAAATAATGAGGCTTTTTATTTTAATGTATTTTTATGTACTGTATAGGCTTATATGAAATGTTAGCAGAGTCTCCACTGGCATTATTTTTTTATAGAAAGCAAAATTCTTTACATGTGACATCGCCTAGTAGCGTATAAATTGGTTATAGGCCTATTGAACAAAGTTAACAACATTCCAAGTTATACCAAAATTAAATGTAAAAAATATAAAAATTGGAAATATGTATCCTATTATTAGGCCCTATACTGTTTATTAAGGGGTTGAAATGTTAACTTCTGACGAACATTCTCTTCAGATAAATGTTGTTTGGAGTAACAAGAATTTTACTTCAGTGAATCGAATCTTAAGAACGGTACACCTACGTATATATCAATTACGTAGGTGTATAAAAACTCATGTTTTGTGTAGTGTGTAAACCATTTCTTTTTCTTTTTTTTATCATTAAATAGTTTAGATTGATGTGTTGTGATGTATTTCTCCTACAATAAATTAGTGAGCATGAAAACTTCCATACATATTATCTTTTCATTATTTCTTTTTTAGTATCGTCTCGATATTGCTAACAACAGTTTTTATTTTTGTAAAATGTGTATCCCATATGCAGTTAAGTACGGCGGATTGATGTAAATACGGTTACAGAATGCATACCTTAACCACCGTACGATAGTGGTAATAGTAATGATGGTACATATTTGGGTGAGGATGGTAATCATAATAGGGAGTTTTCGCAAGTTTAAGAAAAAGATAACGAATACGCTAACATCATCAAATTGTTAGACAACCCATCATCCCCCACATCAGCATATCCCACACAATGTAGGCGATTCATGCCTTTTGTATGAATGAAGGATCATATTGAGCTCGTGCGTATTGTCAATAATGTTTTAAGTACAAATGAATATAATGATAATGACGTATTCTTATTCGTTATCGTTTTTGTAAGGTTGCGAAATCTCCCTAATCATCTTTTTGTAAATGTTTTGTCATTAAATTAAAAAGCAAAATTGATGCAAAATTACTTAAAATTACTAGGAGAAAATGTATATAAGGATGTAAAATCCTATGATATAAAGCCGCCTTTTATTTCGAAATAAATCATGTCAAACATCATTATTTAAGTACTATAAATATAAAATTTGAAATGGCCTATCGCAGTGTATCGAGTACAATTCACAATTTAATGATGGCAATTCCTGACGTTAAAACGTGCATATAAAATAATTATGATGTTTTTTATTACGGTAACCTGTTATAAATGAACCCCATTTTCTTGTCCATATAAAACGACGTATATACTCTACAGCGTACTAATATCGAAACAAGGAAACAAACAAGTATTATATGCCATGACATTCGTAGCATCGCTTCTTGATACAGGTTGTCTTGATTTCGAATTCAGATATTATACAACGGGTCTGGTCTTTAGCAAGGGCTGTCAATTTGTTGGATAAACCTATTTATTTTCAAGCCTTGATATCGTACTTTTCACCAAATCTATGATCGGACTATTTAAAGCAAATTCTAAGACTAACTAATGCAGTTATTCCGCTAACAAGTACGCAGAGTAGCCAGCGGGATTTATCTTTTGATGAAATAAATTCGATTGAGTGTGTTCGAATTGTATTTTAAGTTCGAATCACGTGATCAGATATAGGCCTATTTGAAGATGGTTAGGCAAGTGCCACAGTGTGGTGACCAGCCTAAGGAGCAGAAGAAAGCTGGGTACATCTCTAACCAAACTGCTATTGTACACATTGTGATATCGGTGATGTATTTTGTTGACACCGTTATACCCATCGCAGACACATTCCCTTGTAAAGATATCACAGTTGTTCTTGGGTTAAATACTCTGGTAGGTTGACTATTTTTTTGTCTTTGAAGATGATGTTGTTTTTAAATTAAATTCAATCAATAAAAACAATGGATAAGAAGTATATTTAATTACTTATAATGATATGTAAAAAATCAAGTAGGTACTGGTGCCGAGAGTTCTAGGCTACTCCACACCACAGGTTGGTCTTCAGTGTTGCACAATATTTAGAAATTTTCACCGGGGCGAGCTTTTTTGTGGGGTTAGGTTGCGCCCACTATATACACCACTGAATTTGCCATTGTGATACCTGTGATGTATTTTGTTGACACCGTTATACCCATCGCAGACACATTCCCTTATAAAGATATCAGCTGTTTTTGGGCTAAAATACTCTGGTAGGATGACTATTTTATTTTTTTTTTGTCTGTGAAGACGATGTTGTTTTTTAGTTAAATTTAATCAATAAAATCATGGATAAGAAATATATTTAATTACAGTTAATGATATGTAGAAGTTTAAATCATTATACTGTTAGGTGCCGGAAGTTATAGGCTACTCAACACCACAGTTTGGTCTTCAGTGGTGTACAGTATTTAGAAATTTTCACGGGACGAATTGGAGTGGGGAGCTTTTTCGTGAGGTTAGGGAGTACACGCCACTGAGGTCATTTTACATTCCTTTGTCATTATTATTCAGATTTCCTTTTATACAAATAACCTGTCAACATCTAAATGTCTATTTAATGTCCACCAAAAATATCGTCCCTTTATCAAAGTTTTAAAATGTATTTCTTATCGTTATGTACAATGTATATTATTTGGTCAGAGGCATATGTGATGAATAAATGTTTCTTGTACTTGTTACAATGAAGGAAGCAGAAGGAAAAAATTAAATGACGACGTAAATTTAAAGTGTTTTTGAAATGAGTAGCTATCTTCACTTACAGATTGCTCTACTGACGGGAATTATTGGATTTAGAGCATCAAAGCGTCCAAGCATACCACTCGTAAGTGTAGTTTCTACTGTATAAAAGAGTGAAATATTGTAATATTAATATTAATATATATATATAGGACCTATATGCTGTCTCTTATACACATCTAGATGTGTATAAGAGACAGATGTGTATCCCATATGCAGTTAAGTACGGCGGATTGATGTAAATACGGTTACAGAATGCATACCTTAACCACCGTACGATAGTGGTAATAGTAATGATGGTACATATTTGGGTGAGGATGGTAATCATAAACTGGACCACTTTCGGAATATTTTGAGCGGCGTCCGCCCACGCCCACCACCCACTCTCGTCAGGGACCTCGGCTTACCGTCGGAGACATCGAACCCCGTCGGGCAAATCCTTGCGCCACCCCTGGACCGGACGAATAGTGACCATTGAAGTTTCATATTTTAATAACGGATTTCGACCGCTAATAATGATGCTGATGATAATAGTGGCGATGATAACTACGACGACGATGACAGCAAGAACAATAATAGGCTAACATTATTAAGAATACTGTAATAATAATATTAATGATAATAATATTTTCCTATTTAAATTAAATACAGAGTAAAGTATATATCGGCTTATCAGTGCTTAGTGGTGTGGGTGCTCTGTGTCTGCTAGTAGTTGCTATCATACGTTTCTTCATATCTTCATGTGGCCAAACAAACGTGGGTACAGTTTTTTAAATATATGATTTAGAAATGTATATACCTTTACAATTTGTTTTATTTATATTAAATTATATACAGGAATAAATTATCATGTATATGCATTAATCATATTATTATAGACAAAATAAATCATACATAGTCTATTCGTATTTGTGTACAGGTCCAAGATTCGGAACTTGAAGCGCCACTGATAATTACTTCGGTTTTTTAAACGGCGCTATATAAGTTCTTACCTTATTATTATTATTATTATTATTATTATTATTATTATTATTATTATTATTATTATTATTATTATTATTATTATTATTATTATTATTATTATTATTATTATTATTGAACCAGAGGTATACAAATATCTCTATAATTTTATACCTTCCTGTTGAGAAAACTATTTAGGCCTATATATTTTCCTCGAGTAGAACCAACTCTTCTTGAATAAGGACTTGGTGGTCCACATCTGGCTCGTGTGCACTTTAAAAAACCCATTGCGTCTTTCGGACGAGTAGGAGATTCCCGATGCTATGGTTCATTTCCGCCCCTGTTGTCGTTCTGAAATGATGTGGGTATAGAGCTACTAAGCGTCTTTCTGTGGATGATGAAGTAGGGTGGCGCCAGGATTCTTCCGACGCGGGTCCGACTTTCCGATGTGGGTGGGCGATGACCCCGACGAGAGCGTAAGTAGGCCTGATCGGGCGTCGCTTAAAATCTATCGGGAGTTGTTTAGGGGGCGAAACCAGAAAATATGACAATTTAGGCTAAAGGTTTCAAAGGCTTGTTCAGTCAAATTTAGAGTCTACGTTAGGCCTACCAATAGTTTAAAAATACATATATTTTTCTCCCCTATGGGGAAGCTCTTCCCGGCCACTCCTTCCCTTGCGGACCATGCACATACGCAATTCAGCACAATGACGCTGCGAGATATTCTACGATTACCTTTTCGTTTTGTCTTATTTTTAGAGCTTTATTAGTGCTACTGTAATCACTTTGTACTCGACAGTCAGTGCGTTGTTTGAAATCCCGAACTGCATTGTATCGGTGTCGGTGTTTAACAAAGTAGTGAACAGATTAAAACAAGAGGTGAGAGTATATAGTTTAAGATCGGTACCGGTACATATACTATTCTTTCGTTGAGATGATATGATGATATGAAAGCTTATGCAAGTAAACATCAAATTTGTTAAACCACCGGTTCTCCCAACTGGAATCTACACTGTAAAAACAGCGTGGAGGATTTAAACACAAAGCTCCATGCAATGTTGTCAGTTTTTGGTGACGCGTTTAAAAGCTAAACGTGTTTAGATATATCTTAATGTGCTTAGGATCTTGACGTGTTTAGCATTAGATGTGCTTAGGTATGACATCATGATGTCAGCTTTTAAACGTGTCACCAAAAACGGGACAACATTGCGTGGAGCTTTGTTCGAGCGTATTATTTCTATTAGGCCTACCTATATAACCAATTTGGGTAATTTAATTCTTCAATAAAATATATATAGAGGCCTATGTATTCATATCTTTAAAAATTATTTCCAGTTTCATCAGCCATTTCAACGTGAATAGTTCAATTTCATTTCCAATGTCAATGTATTTATTTAAGAATATTTGAATGGATTCATTAATTAATCATGTTTCATCGAAAAATAGCATACGATTACGAATACACGTTATTCCCCTTATGGTTATCGTTCATGCTGCATGGACTGGGGGCTTAGTTATGATTTATCTTTATCAGTAATATTGATAGAGGACTTTACCAATAAATCACGTCTTTCAGAGAGCCACTCAGAACGCGGATGAGTTTGTTAAATTGGAAGAGAAAAGACAACCATCCAATTCTAAGTATGTTTACTATTATTGTATCATTATTCACATTTAACTTCAATCATTATCACTACCATCATAATCATCTACATCATCATTATCGTCATCGCCATCATCATCATTATCTTTTTCTTTATTGTAACCGTCATAGTTTGGTTTCGCTTAAGGAGTAGGCCTATGCGATACTAAATCTCTCTATATACCATACCATCATCATTTGGTTTCGCCTTAACCAAGAAGTATGCGATACAAAGATATTTTGTTAAGAACTTATTTTAAGTAATATTAATGTAATAATTTAATGATTTAAAAATTTAATAATTTAATAGTAATATAGAGAGTCATTTAGCAAGAATGATTATCAATAGTAAGTAAATAAACTTTTCAACAAAAATTATTCTAATATACACAGTTACAGTTTCAGTTATCTGAGTTCCTTTACGTTGCTTTCAATATTAGAAAAGAGAAAGTCGTAGCTAATAACATCCCATAAATATTTATCGATCGTGTTATTGTTATTGTTATATGTAAAGTCGGGTATTTGCCCTAAAATAATCATCGCTTTATTATTATTATAATCATTAGGCCTATCATTATTATTGATCATCATTGTTATCATTATCATGAACGATATAGTGTCACGTGCTTTGGACTACATTGTGTAAATTTACATTAACTATTTATGACATATCTCGACCTGTCAGTTTCTTTTACGGTAAGAGACAAGTGACGAAATTACTTACGGTATTATCCTACAGCTTTCGAAATAGGCCTCAACTTCCAATGTGCTGCAGGCCATTGATCCTAATGCTCCTTTGTTAGAAGCTATATAAATAATTTTATACTATATTAATTATTAATTCCAGGTATGAATACAGCACCATCGGCGACAATTTGCCGTCCAATAACCAAAAGAATACTGATGGGCATCCGTATCAAGAGACACTCCAGGGTGCGTTGGTGGAGGATAATGAAAATGGTTTTAAATCGCACCATTTTTACCCAACAGTTATCGTCACATCTCAGCAATCTCAAGAAGTTTCACCAGAGCGTCAGCTTGATGAGACGACCTATATTGAGATGGATGACAAAATGACGTCAAATTTGAAATTTCCTGGAAAGGTTACGACGTTTGTCTATGATTATACATATGCTGATGTGGCGCCAGAACCTCCACCACGAGCAAAACGTTCTTCAGAAGTTCTAAAGTCATTTACACTACCACATCCATACCTGGAAATTTATGATAAATCGGATCCACCTAAAAAATACGCACACTCTGCCGACATGGAACATGCGCGAGAAAGAAGACAAACTTACTTTCACAAGAAATTTGCGTCGCGCTTCCAACCCCTCGCTGACGATCAACCTACCTCAGGCGTTTTCTTAGCAAAAGTGAATAAATATCACAATGCGTTTGCCGACAGACTCAGGTGCGCCGTCAGTAACGAAGAAATATATCCTGTTGCCAACCAGTCACCATTAAAAGACGAGAGCGAGAAAAAGGTCGGAGAACCTTTTCCCAGACCAAAACGTACAGACCAACATGAACATTTTCATTCGGTGAATGGACAATCTTGCCTCTCTGACGTCGAGAGCACCGATGAGTGTACCTCATCCAACACAGAACCAGTTCAGAAGAATTGGGGTTTATATGGTGATTGTGGCGCTAATAGCGGTGGCATAGTAAAGTCGATGCAACAAAGGACCACAGGAGAATGTCAGCTGCCATTTTCCAGTCTGCAGGAGTCTATGGTTGGCGATGAAACAACAAAGAAGACTAGTTTGAAAAGGCATGTATAGTAGCTATGACTAACCATTTACACCATTTCACAGAAAAATATATTGCTAATAAAACAATAATAACTTAAGTACATATCACCTTTCACAATCCAAGAAATTGCGCAATGACTTTATGTGACGTCATTATGTCCAGATTTTACCGGCGTTGTGAAATCGAAAACTATATATAGACAGGTTTTATTTCTCCAAACCCGGCCTCTATAACGAATCAATGGGAATTTTTAAATAGAAACTGGAATCCACTTGATTTAAGGGTATTTTGACCTTTTGCTGATTACGAATCTGGTGGATCTCTTAAGCGATATTCTTTCATCTAAGGCCAAAATGGCCGCTTTTATGCAAAAGCATCCATTTTAGGGGAAAAAGACTAACACTGTATTTCACTTACTATTTGTCATGGCAGAAAACAGTGTAATTTCACTGTTCCCTGGTCATGGAGAGTTCATTTTGGTACCAAACTGTTCGGAATGCTTATTTTAAATCTATTCACTATGATAGAAGAATTCCCCCACAAATAGGCCTACTAGGAAAAAAGTTATTACCAAAAACCCCGTTTTTGGCCAATAAACACGTTTTATAATTTTCTTGTATTCAAAACCATTGAAAATAATGCCATTGAAAAATGAAAGCTGAAGTGACAATAGTGAAACACAAACAATAATTTTTTTTACATTCTTTGTTATAATCGATTCAATGGTTTCGGTAAAATTTTGCAAAAATCAAGAACTCTGTAACTCTGTTAGTATTTGTGCAGGAGAATATGTATTACCAAAAACTCCTGTTTTTAGCGTAAAACAACATAATTTTTATAATTTTCTTATTTTCAATTCAAATAAAAACATATTCAATGCCATAACATGTTTTAATTCAATTAATACTGGCAAATGAGGTAAAGTCACACTAATAAATCACAAACAAATATACGTTTTTATAAAAAAAATTCATATATTTTATGCATACAAATATGCTTAATTCTATTTAAAAAAAGGCGGGTAAAATTTTGCAAAAATCAGAAAAACGCCGTAGCTCTGCTAGCATAATTATGTACAGATGAGTTGAATTTGGTCTCATATTACTCAGAATACATATATTTCTTTTAGCTGTAGTGGAAAATGTTCTCCAAAAATTACCAGGAAAATATTTATTATAAAAAATAAAAATCCCTTTTTAGGGCATAACACATTATTCTTATAATTTTCTTATTTTCAAGGCCATTAAATCTTTAAATTTATTCAATGCTTACAAATGAGCAAAATTTGCATTAATAAATCACAAATATATATTTATGCATAAAAATATATTTAATTTTACTTCAAAAGGCGGTTTTGTTAAACTTCTGCAAATCTGGGGCGGATTGCTATAAGCGGTTCTTAGACGGTCTTAACTGTTAGCCGGCTATAATCGTGACGTCACTACTGGTCTATGATTATTTTAGACCATTGCTATACCGCGATTTAACCAGTTAGCCATCTTAAATTTTAAAGCCTACTCGGAGGCTTAAAATAGTCTTAAATCATTTTCATCATGACATTCTGCTGATTAATTCAACATTGCAATGGCAAGACTTAGACCTAGATCGTCAATGTCGGAGAATCGAACGATGAATTCCGCACACTTCTCAGCATCTGTAAAAATAGGTCTACATTACGTTAATTTCGATACATTTGCGTGCGTCGAGCACAAATGACGTCGCCCCCAATCTTACGTTACCGGGGTGTGCTTGTTTGCGTTTGAATACTCAAAGCGGTCTTGGGGAAGACTGTTTTATAGCAATGGTCTTAGAGGAATGACTTTAGTAAGACCGTAGTGATAAAGCCGGCTTTATCTGAGGAGTTAAGACTACCAGTAAAACCGTTTTATAGCAATCCGCCCCAGGAAAACTCTGTTAGTAGGCCTATAATATGCAAGAAAGGTGAAGGTCTCATATTACTCAAAATAATATTTCTATAATAGCCCTAAATCATATTCTCCAAAAATTACCAGGAAACTATTTATTAGCAAAAAATCCCATTTATTAGGGCAGAAAAAAGGCGCATACTAAAATAGCCTTTAGGCTTAAAAAATACAATCAAACAGCTGTTGATACTTATTTTTACTTCACACAAGTATAGAAATATATCGTTATCAATGAAATGATAGCGCTAAATTAATTTTAATCCTTTTAATATTTTGTACAAATATTTATGGCACTCTGCAATTGCTATAGTGACTGGTTAAGAAGCTAAGTTATTTTTAGTCACTTAGATTAGTTCCTTGTTAATTGTTCTTGAATCCACCACTGGAACACTGCAGCGATATGAGGAGGAGGACACAACTAGGCCTATCAAGAATCACATTTGTCTAAACGTTGGTAGGCATACGGCTTCGCCCGATCCCGCCTATCACTTTTACCAAAGATGTACGCTGCTTCTCCCTGTTCTTTTAGAGGTAGAATAGTAGAATAATTTAACTTTTTTAGCACACTGGCTATATATGGCACTCAATAATCGGAAAACTGGGTATCGGCAAACTGGGTTTCATGATTTTTGAGTTAGCACACTGGAATTTGGCAAATCGAGTTTCGGTAAAAGAACTGAGCAATCTGGGTTTGGGTAAACTGGATTTCGGCACCGGAGGATACAAATAAAATTTTGCTTTACCATTCTCTAAACTACTGGCTACTTGACTATTACATAAAACCGAAAGGTCTACTGATTAATCTCAGATAAGATAGTATAATACATATTCAGGGTCATCCTGATGATGACATAATTAATGTCGAGATATTGAATCCCAACACGATGGCGTGCATTTCGATACTTGGAGTATGTAGGGCCTATTGACTTTTTAGCTTTCCGAACAGTTTGGTACCAAAAATAATTTCACTCCACCAAATTCGTAATCAGCAAGGTCAAAATACCCTAAGTAAACTGGATCCCAGCTTTTACCTAAAAATGCCCATTGCATCATTATTTTTGGGATTTGGAACTATAGGCTTAGTACTAATAATCATTAAATATAAGATATTGTAAAAACTACAATTGTACGTGAATAGTTTTCATCATAATGCAAATTTCTTTGTTTCACAGTCGAAACAATAGTGGTGATGACGTTGGTTGTTTGGTTGTCAATGAGAGCTACTCATACTTACATGAATGCTGATGGTGCTCATAAATTTGCTCCTAAACAAAGACAGACACAAGCCTGCTGATCTCCGAAAAACATACATGTCTAAGCCTTACTGTTTTAGTGATTGCTTGTAAACCTGATTGCTTAAAAACCATATATGTTATAACTTGGCAAAATTTATTCCAAGGCTCTGTGATTAGTCAAAACCTGCATAGAAGTCAACAAACTTATAGCGGTTAAAAGGTTCAAAAAGAATACAGTATTACTACACTAAGTTTTCTGCCCACTGGTCGGACGAATTCTGTGTAAAAGTTTAAGCATCTGTACCATAAATTACTGTACTCATTTAAAAGATCACATAAGTTATCAATTTTCAATATGTTATACCGACTTTTTTTTTTTTTTTATTGATTTTCAATGATTTATAATTATCAACTGATTTATTTATGGACACATATTAACACAGTACGGTACTCATTTAAATTACTGGCAGACATTGGTCACCTGTACGCAAATGTCATAAAAGTGCTATTTTTTAAACGCCTGTACTGTCGCACTTTATTAATCATCGCCATTAGTACCGTAATTCCTGTCGAGCACTATGTAACACACTTGTCTGACTTTATAAACCTGTTGCACTTTGTAATACCGTACTCGCGCGAATAAGCGCCCCGGCGCTTAAAATATTTTTGGCTCTTTTTGAGGGGGAACTTATTCAAACGGGGCGTTTATTCAAAGGAGGCGCTTATGAAAACAGAGTGGAAATTGAGGAGGCGCTTATGGAAATAGATGAAAATTGAAGGAGTGCTTATGGGAAATTGGAAAATTTAAGGGCCACCGTTTTTTTTAATCGAAGATAAGTGAATGGTTTTGGTGAAGAAAAAGTAATCTTCGATCGAGAGAGCATGAAATTGACGAAATTTGGTGTTGGTGGTGGTGGTAAGCGTGTTGGCGATCTGCCAATTCAGATTAGAAGGATCATTGCAGTGTTTCTTGCTTAGATACGAGAGTGATGCGTGATGAAGTCAGTTATTTTTAGTTGACTGATAGGCCTATTAAATACTAGTAGTTCTAAAGAATAAAAAAAACAAGCAATAAAACAGAACGGGATTACATCAAAACTGAAAATTATCTTAAACTTAATGGAGACTGACAGCCAGACATGGATAGTTGGACTGACCGACCGACGATGCTAAGATAGATGCGAATAGTTGATGCAGAAAATTAAGTTGGTGATGTACTGTATGATTGATTTTTTTTAGGAATCGAGGGGCGCTAATTCAAACAGGGCGCTTAAGACAATTTTCACGCCTATTCAAGAGGGGCGCTTATTCAAAGGGGCGCTTTCGCGCGAGTAAGTTAACTGTTTTTCCGCACTTTGTAACAACAGGACTGTCGTACTTTTTTAACAACTGTCTGTCGCACTTTGTAATAAACTAAGGTTTCGTGCTTTGTAATAGGTAACTTCTGTACTTTTATGGATTTTGATTAATAACAATTATTTTGCGGAATAGTTTACAGTGGGATGTGGTGAGTCGTTGGACTAGCATCTATTGTCGGAAAAATAAATATATAAAATATTATTTTCTACTTTTTCACACCTGGTTTTAAATTAGCTATAAGTACAGATATTTTTTATTTAATGTAGAAATTTGAAAATGGCAATGTATTTATTAAGCTATTGTAAAAGTAAATATAAAACTTTATTTTCAAGCTAGAAATGTAAGCGAGAACCTAATACACAAGATAATGATGTTAAAATGTGTGTATAAAATTAATGATGATGTTGTAAATAAACCCCAGGATTTTGTCCATGTGATAGGACATAAAAACAGCGTATACTGAAACGCTAAAGTAAGAGACGGGCACTCCGGCCTGCTTCAGGTTTCGAACCGTTACCGTACCTTACTGATATCGAAACAAGGAAACATTTTTTTTCAAATAATAATTGTTAAACAATGTCACGACATTCCCGTAGCATCGCTCTTGATACAAGTTGTCTTGTTTTAAAATCAGATATCAAACAGGTCCTGTTTTCAGGGCGACCCACGTTGGAAAAACTTTCGTAGTTTCAAGTCTGGATATTATATCGTATTTTTCACCATATATATGATCGGACTATTTAAAGCAAATGCCAAGACCAACATGCTTAGGCCTATGTTGCGATAACCAAGTACGCAGAATAGCTGGTGTCAAGTTATTTTATGATCGATAAACTAATTAAAACATGAAATAAATTCGACTAAAGTAGAGTGTTCAAATTGTATCGTAACTTCGAATCACGTTATCAGATATCTGAAGATGGTTAGCGAAGTGTCAGATTGTGATGAACAGCCAAAGCAGAAGAAAACTGGGTTCATCTCTAACCATGGACTTATTAATAGGTCCATGGACCCCATAGGTCCATGCTTTAAGAAAACTGCTATTGTACACATTGTGATATCGGTGATGTATTTTGTTGACACCGTTATACTGATCGCAAACACATTCCCTTGCAAAGACATCACAGTTGTTCTTGGGCTAAATACTCTGGTAGGTTGACCATTTTTGTTGTTAGATAATATTTGTAAGATAATGTTTTGTACCAATTAAATATATCAATAAAACCATGGATAAGAAATATAAATGTATTTAATTACTGTTAATTATGTAAAAATTCAAATAATTATGCTTTACCTGCCGGGGGATTCTAGCCTATTCCAACACCGCATTTTAATCTTCAGGCCGTATCTAGAAATGTCAGGGGGAAACTTGAGGCGGTGGTTGTAGGGTGGGGAGCACCACTAGATACGCCATGGTCGTTTTACATTAGTTTGCCCTTATTTGAAAATTAGGACTAAATGTCTTTTTACCTTTTATACAAATAACCCTGTCGAAATCTATTTATGACACATCTTCGACCAATCAGTCTGAAAGAGATAGGTGAAAAAAATATTCATTATCCTGTAGCTTTAAATATGCCTCAACTTCTTCTAATGACCTTTCACAGTCACTCGATCATAATACTCCTTTTTTAGAGTCATACAATATTATCAGTCACACAATCCTATACAATATTATTCATCAATTTCAGGTATGAATACATCGACGACAAGGTGTCATGCAATAACCAAAATGAATACTGATGGGCATCCGTATCAAGCGACGCTACAGAGTGCTTTGGAGGATAATGAAAATGGTTTTGACTCGCAGCATCATTTTTACCCAACAGTTATCGTCACATCTCAGCAATCTAGAAAAAAATGTCATCAGAATATGAGCCTAATGAGAAGACTTATACTGAGGTGAATGACAAAATTACGTGTAGAATTTCCAGACATGCTACGACATTTGTCTATGATTATGCATATGCTGATGTGGCTCCAGAACCTCCTCCACGAACGAAACGATCTTCAGAAGATCTGAAGTCATTCACACTACTAAATTCATACTTGGAGGGGTTTTAATAAATCGGATCCACCTAAAGAATACGCCCACTCTTCCGACATGGAACATGCGCGAGAAAGAAGACAAACTTACTTTCACAAGAAATTAGCTTCGCGCTTTCAACCCCTCGATGACGACCAACTTACCTCAAGCGTTTTCATAGTAAAAGTGAATAAATATCACGATGCGTTCGCCGACAGGCTCAGGCGCGCCGCCAGTAGCGAAGCAATTTATCCAGCCGCCATCCAGTTACCATTAGAAGACAAAAGTGAGAAGTTCGAAGAACCTTTCCAAAAACCAAGAAGTACAGACCAACATCAACATCTTCATTTGCTCGATGGACAACCTTGCCTCTCTGACGTCGAGAGCACCTAGGCCTACTTCATTCAACATAAACCCAGTTCAGAAGAATAATGGTTTATATGGTGATTGTGATGTTAGTGGTGGTGGCATAGTCAAGTTCTTGCAGCAAAATGCTAACGAAGAATATCAACTGTTTAGTCATAACTCCACATTATGCAATATTGATAATAAAACAATAATAATATAAATACTTATGCAGCGCCTTTCATAAACCAAGAAATAAAATTAAAAGCTTCTGTGGCGTTGATTCCGAAGTTGGCAGACATACACAACGCGCAAAGTCTTCTTCCTCTCCTTCGATCGGAAATAATCCTAGTGTGTGCATTTCCTTCTGCATTGTGCACTAACCACTACAACATCGTACTAGGTACCAATTTCTACTCCTGGGTGGAGAAAGACAAGTATAGGTTAATTGATTTGCACAAGTTCAAAGCGAAAGGCTCTGTGGATTCAAACTCGAACAAAAACAAGAGTGACGATGACGTTGGTTGTCAATGAGAGCTACTCATACTTTATGTTGATGCCGGGACGTATCCGGGGGGGGGGGAGCCGTGGGAGCCGCCCCCTTTGTACACAGTGTTGACATTTTAAAGCTTATTCTTGAGCCAATACAAATTCTTTCCTGGGATCACTTAAAATGAATACTTCTAAACATGTAAATATGCATCAG